GTATGGACTTTTACAATCAAATAACTTGATTTCAATTGTTAAATGTATATAATAGGAGAATATCCAGTAATTTTAAGAATTATATGCATCCCCCTCCATTAGTTAGGTGTGCAGTTAATTAAGATTTACGTTGATGTCGATAATGAAAATTTTAAAAATACCAATATTAATCGTAGGTTATTCTTTGCCCCTCTGACCCATTTCTATATATCACAACGAGCTCACTCAATAAGCTAAAATCTTTCATATAAAGTCCAAGAAGTTGACAATTTCAACTAAAACTACACGTCTTTTTCTACACCACTACCATTGGCAAGACAACCACATCTGTGACCATCACCACTCCCTCTCCCTCCAACAAGGATTTGTAGAAGATGACAGAAGATAAGTTGTGATTTTGAAAACCTTCCAAAGAAATGTCTATCGATACATAACTAGAGAATTCAAAAGAACACGGGAAAAGCTAGTTGCCAGGCACCTAACTTGGGCATCAACATGACACATATCATGAGAGCAGTGATTTTCAGCTCACTCCCATTAGTCCAATAGCATCTTATCTCTTGCCATTCCTTAACCCTAAACACTAACCAAGATACACAGACAATAAGCAGAGAAACAGAATTGGGAAGAAAGACAAATTTAACCATAGCTCAGCAGCCTTAAACAAAGGATAAGCGTATTCCATTTCATGTCACTCAAGGATCAAAAAAAAGATGAAAACAAATTTCCCACAGGGGAGCTCCCCCAACAACGGGATTGAGTTCTACTGCCTACTATCACTGCTCATACAAATAAATAAATCCCCTAATACAGGGCAGAGTACAACAAATGGATGAAAAAAAAAAAAACGATTCTACAAATTGAAGGCTACAAAATTATTATATTACAATAGGAGAATAGTAGGTTTGTGCACCACCAGATTGTCATCTGCATTAATAGTTCTCCATTGAGCTGGATAGATCCGGGAGTCATTGTGCCACGTAACCAAACAGCACCTTCAGAAAAATAAAATAGCACACCTGGTCAATCAAAGGTGAAAACAACAATAACTTTTCAAACAAAAAAAAATTACAAGTGCACATAAATGTCATGAGACAACCTCAAAATTTTGCATTTGTAGATGCAGATGCAAACATATCAAAAAAAATTTATACTTGCATGCAGAACTCTCTCTCTCTTTATATATATTTTCCAACCAGCCCATCAGGTGGGGGCTATCATGTTTTCCCTTCTATTATGTGCATAATGGAACTTCAATGGATATTTGATATCATGCACAGAGTAGAAGGGAAATATCCCATGAAGTTCCATCATCCACAAAGTAGAAGGAAAAACATTACATCCCCAACCCCGCTATCTACAGTCCATGTCCAAAAATTTCTAAGATTGGCAAAATACCTCTTAACTCTTGAAACTTAATAAAAAAGCATAACTAAAACTCTTTGCAACAATGATAAACCAAACTAGACATAATAAGACCCTTTCTAACGCCCTTTCGAACACTAAAAATCAACTGCTTGAGATCCCAAATGAGACTTTGATGTTCAACAACATTCTTTGAGCTTTGGGGCTACCACCCTTGCATTTCCATATAGTGGGGAGATTCAATTACAACTATCACTACTAAAAACCGGAACTTTTGTGACGGTCTAAAACATCGCAAAAAGTTCACATGCCGTCGCAAAAGACTTTTTACGACGGAGTAGCGATGAGAAATGGAGGGTGGTGGAAGGGAGGGTGACAAAAGGTATTTGCAACGGTTACAAACCGTCGCTTTTTTATAGCAATGGTAAATCAATAGTTTTTGGGACAGTTTAATCTAACACAAAAAGGGCAAAAAACTCCACTTTTAGCGACGGTTTTGGTTGCCGTCGCCCAAAACTTTTTTAGAGACGTTATTTGACGTCGCAAAAAGTATCATTAGCGATAGTCTAAAACGTCGCCAAAAAATTAGAATTAAATTAACACCGTTTCCGCGACTGCTTAAACCATCCCTAAATATTTGAACTAATATGTATATGCAACAGGTTAACCCATCGCTAATAAAATACAAGGAAATAATGATTACATTAGCGACGGTTTATTATTATCGCAATAAAATTATTTTTATAAAATAAATATATATTTTATTAATTCATTCACTGTACAAATTATTAATATTTTCTAAAATAAAATACATCCCCACCCGCATCCACATCCACAGCCACATTCACAAAATCATACGAATGATAATATATATGTACCTTGTAACAATACAATATCAACCAAACATTCTTTACAAAAATATATAAAACATCCTCCAATAAGACTAATAATTTTTTATAATTCAAGAACTCAAATTTTTGTATCCAAAACAAAACCAAAGTATCGACAACACAAATAAAAAAACATATATATTATAGCTTGTTTTAATATCAATAGTGAGCTCCAATATCGATATGCAAAACCGTTTCCGTGCCTGATTAAACCATCCCTAAATATTTGAACTAATATGTACATGCAACAGGTTAACCCATCGCTAATAAAATGCAAGGAAATAATGATTACATTAGCGACGGTTTATTATTATCGCAATAAAATTATTTTTATAAAATAAATATATATTTTATTAATTCATTCACTGTACAAATTATTAATATTTTCTAAAATAAAATACATCCCCACCCGCATCCACATCCACAGCCACATTCACAAAATCATACGAATGATAATATATATGTACCTTGTAACAATACAATATCAACCAAACATTCTTTACAAAAATATATAAAACATCCTCCAATAAGACTAATAATTTTTTATAATTCAAGAACTCAAATTTTTGTATCTAAAACAAAACCAAAGTATCGACAATACAAATAAAAAAACATATATATTATAGCTTGTTTTAATATCAATAGTAAGCTCCAATATCGATATGTAAAAATATCATCACTTACTCAAAAAGGTTACATCTGCAAAAAGAAAGGAAAAAAAATCATTTACAATATAATTAATTTCAAACATACAGAAAATATAAAACATTTGATATTTATTTCAATAAATAAATAAATAAATAAGATTGTATGTAATATTTCAAGCACCAAGTTAGATATTTCTCAACCAAATTATATCAAGAGAGTCCATTTCAAATTATACTAAATGAACCTCTAAATTAAAAATGCTTAAGATATACATACTGTAGCATATTTTTCAACCAGAGGACAGAATACTGGATATGGCAACTGGATAAGACCTTCCTTCTCTCCATTAAGGAGTTCCCAATTTAAAATTAAAAAAAAATAATTCAAAAATAATTCAGAATCTAATTTAAACACATTAAAAGAAATAGGATGCTAGAATCAAGATCACCTAGTCCCTTTTCTATCCCCTTATATTCTATTGTTTTTTTCCATTGTTTCTTCAAGGAAATACATAACCAATAACTAAGCAAGTTCAGCAGAATTCAAAAGGCATAAAGTATAAATTATCTTTGCATTCATGGCCCAGTCAAAATTGAGTATGCTATAAGCCTTCAATGAAATTATCAAAGCTGTACAATATGATTAACCTAGAACAAGTTCCGACCTACAGAAGAGGCAAAGAACTACAACACTAGAGCATAACGTGCATGTCTCATTTGATCACGAACTACTATACAGCTATTGACATCTCAAAATAATACAAAACCTTCAGTAACAAGTGAAAACAAATGCTCTTAGATTGCCAAAGCTCAAGAATAAATTATTTTATGGTTAAAGGGCAAGTTTTCACAAACGGGAATTAGGCTCTAAATTCAAAACCGAGTATTGGTTTCGAGTCTCGTCTTTTCCTATAAGTCATTTGTACCTAGTTAGTCATGTTTGTTAAGTTTTTTTGACATCTGATGCCGTTTGACTATTTTAGTATGTCAACCAGTTCGGAAAAAAGAGTTTCTAAAAGACAAGTTTTCACAAACAGAAATTAAGCTATAGATTCAAAATTAGGAATAAGCTTCGAATCCCATCTTTTCCTACAAGTCATTTGTGCCTAGTTAGTCATGAGTATTAAGTTTCGTTGACATCCAATGACGTTTGACCATTTTAGTGTGACAACTAGTTCGGAAACGAGTTTCTAAAGGACAAGTTTTTACAAATGGAGAATTAGGCTCTAGATTCAAAACCGAGAATCGGTTTCAAGCGCTTGAAATATTGATGATATATTAATCGTATAAAAGGATGGTGCATGTACAATAGTAACAATAGTGCATGTACAAATAGACAAGAAACAATAGCAATGAGGCTCAAGTAAACTAGCAATCAACCATACCTCCAGCTTTTTCCTCAACTTATCATGCCCTTTCAATAGGACATGTACTGGAAAGAATGCTGCAAGAAATACTATCCATCCTATTGTCAATACTAGAACCATGCATAATCAAATGAGATGCATCAAATATGGAAGGTAACATTCATAGCAAACAATAATTTGAAGACCCATAAAATAAAAGCAATCACATAATAACTCCCCAAACAGCTGTTCTGTGAAAACAATGTTAAACTAGAAAAATAAGTCATTCCTTTCGGATGACTCAACTGATTCCCCTAAACTTACATAATTACATCAAGTCACCAAGATATGCAGAATCATTGCATCAAATTAAAAATAATAAATATAAATAAATAAATAAAGCATTTGATATTTTAAAAGTGTTCGTGCTTCTTAGCACTACATTAGTAGATATGCACAATAGAATAGAAAGTTATATTCACATAGAATAACTATAAATTGAACCTTGAACCAAAAAGAAACAAGACCACAAAACATCTAAAATGCCTTCTCAAAATTTATTTTGCTTTCTTTATTTCTTCATGCTTTCAACAGTATAAAAGGCTTAACTTATTGGAAAAGGATCAGATATCTAACTACCACCCCCAAACACCAGAGAGGAAACAAATACGCATTCCAGCTCCAAGGTTCTGGAGGAATTGACTTGAAACTATGTGTGAAAGAGTCCTGCTCATAATTGAATGAAATTAGTGGGGTCAAAATGGTAAATATTTCACTGTTAACATATCAATATAGATAACATTCTTTCAACAAAGTAATGTGTCAAAAACCAAAGGAGAAGCATAAGTACAATAATACCACCAAAAAAAAAGCAAAAAGCAAAAACAAAAAAAAAAGAAAGAAAGAAAGAAATATCCACTACCACCGTTGCCACTCCAACAACATCACTGCCATCACCACTAATAACAATTTACACCCAAATCAAACTAAAACTTTTGGCTAAATTTTTTGAGGAAGGTTAAGGTGCATATAGTCCTATCAAAATAAATCATTACAAAACACAAAACAGACCCTTATAGAGGCTGACTTTGCTGCCTCACGTGCAGCTTGCACTACCTACCTAGGTACTTCAGTTCTACATACATGATCTATAGATAACAGATGTCCATTTAGATGTTCTTTAGATTCCACTCTATCTACTTCATTCTCTTCCTTGAGCCTCTTTACTAACACTTGGCAATCTGTTAGGATGGTAACCAACATCACTTTGCTTTGTATGCACCATCTTAACACTTCGAAACATGCTCTAGCTTCTGCTACAATTGCTGATCCATGCTACCTAGGCTGCCCCTGCTTTGGCTGAGTGATTTATCCATGCTCCATCGATCAGAAACTTGGCAAAAATTGGATCTGGAGGCCAATGCACATTGTTAGTAACAGCATAATGTGGGTGTTTGGGAAGTGGTTATTTTAGAGGCTTTTTAGCTATTTTAGTAGGCTATTTTAGTTTTTGTGTTTGGGAAGATAGGATGGATTTTTATTGGAATTGTTACATTGAAAAATGTATTTGAAATGATGTTTGAGATTGAAATGACAAATTTGTCCCTATCTTTACTTTTCCCAAAATTACTCTATAGGGGCAAAAGTGTCTTTTCGGTCTGTGGGACTAGGCTGGGCCTACCCACTGCTGGCTGCCAGTGCATTTGTTTTTGTTTTTTTTTTTATAAATATAAATTATTAGTTTAGTAGGCTATTTGGCTTTTTTTGTATTTGAGGTTATTTTAGCCTCAACTTTTGGTTCCCAAACACCCCCAATAAGTATCTACTATGCCTATTGCATCACATTCCTACAACAACATTACACACAAAATTCAGATTAAAACTTCAACATTTCAAAATTACTTCAATTAATTGAGCTTTTCCACCATAACATCTTGAGGAAACTTTATCCATAAGGCTGTCCATGGAACAGAGAAAAATGAAGATCATTCAATCTTAACCACCAAAAAACTTCAATCACTTCAGCACCATCAATACCCCCAACTCACTCAGTTGTTTTCCCCCATTGCTAAGCAAACCACTAGCTGCTTCACCACCATCAACACCCCATCCTCTCTCTCCCTCTCTCTCTCTCTCTCTCAACACCATATTAATGTTCTCTTGCCACCTTAAAACACACCCTCTTACCCAAACTTCATTCTCACCCTCTATCTCACCGTACTCCATAAAAACCCAATTCTCTCACACCACAAACCCACATCACTCTTCTTCATTTTCACTTGATCAAGCCACTCTCAATGCTCCTGTTTTCTAGTAATTAACTAACCATAAAAAAGAATAGTAATTTGTCTTGCATAATAAGTCACATGATCTATGAGTCGGTTGTTGCTATTTGAACTGAAGATGGACTATTGACTAGTGACTCTCACTTGCAATTTCCTACTTGAAAAATATGAAGTTTTATCTGAAGGTAATTGTACTCACTATTACATCATCACTAAGTTTCAACTGGAATAAATTGCACTGACACATAAGTTCCAACAAAATCAGAAGTTCAATGCTTGTCTTTCTAAACCTAGAAAGAGCTCTCTCTCCCAATATGGCATTCTAAGCTGTTGTGCACATGAAAAATCTCAAATGAAAAAAAATAAATAAAACCCTAAGCCATAACTCATTTCACATACCCCTTTCATTCATTCACCTGTCATTTTCACTTAAAGGATATCATGGAAACCCTTTGAAATTTATAACAACCAAAATTCAATCTGTTTAGATCATAACATTATCACATACCAAAACATTTGGATGTAATTTTCATCATTCCCACCTCCTAAACCCTATACTTAAGAAAGTACAACTTACACCGAGACCATAACTTTGTTGCAAGTTTCACTTTTTTTTTAAGGAAAAAAAAAACCAAAGACGAATTCCATAGTTTCTCTCAACAATTAAACAAAATTAGTTGACTTTAAAATTTTAGTAATTGCATGTTCCAAGCTATTAACAGTCAAATTGAAGGCAAGAAACCCTTAAACAATCGCACCTTCAAATAAAAAACCCAATTGATGAAATCCCAAATCAAAAACCCTTAAACAATCGCTAGTTTGAATAGTCAAGAAACCCCAAATCATCACTAGATTTAGAGACAAACCCGTTTGAAATCAAGATTATAACTAAAACCCAATTGCTGAAATAAAGATTATAACTAAAACCCAATCGAAATTTAACAAAAACAAACAGTATAAACAAGACTGATCAGAGTTCAATTGGTCAAATAGATCAAAAACCGAGAAACCTACCTCAAAAACAAGTTATAATCAGACCCAAATCAGCCATGGATAGGGCTCCTCGAACAGAGATGTACTTGTGGGAAGAACAAAGGTGAGGCAGCGATGGCAATAAGGCAATGGATGGGCAAGAGAAAGAGATGGAGGTGGCGCTAGTGCTAATCGATGTCCCAACACCGATTTGATGCCCTCTTGTGCAGAGGTGGCGCTGGGTGGAGGTGGAACTTTCCGCCGCCGTCAGTCTCTCTCTCTCTCTCTCTCTGTGGCTTTTGATGTATTAACAGCGAAAGTGAAAGAAAAGAAGAGAAGAGGAGAGGAGGGTTACTTGGACACTGTCCACGCTGTTGTTGTTGCTGCTGCGAGAGACAGAGAGACAACTGGGCACAAGAGAGAGAGAGAGAGGGAGAGAGAGAGAGAGAGAGTGAGATTTGGGAAAAGAAGGAAAGATGAAGGGACGGGGGGTGGGTGCGAATTTAGAGATTAGGATTTGTGACGATGTTAACGATCATCGTGAATGAATGAGAAAAAATAAAATATTTTGTGACGAACTAACAAAGTGTGTTGCAAAAAATAAATAAATAGCAAGACAAAAAAAAATTTGCGACAGGCAATGTACCATCGCATATAATCTTATTTTTTGCCACGATCTTAGATTTTTTTAATTTCGCCACGGTTTTATTTGTCATCGCAAAAAGCAAGCGTTTGCCATGATTTTTAAACCGTCGCAAAAGGTTCCGTGTCATATACCTCTGTTTCTATCCATCCGAAGACATAGACAAGAAGTTAGCCACCTTCAAGTGCATATGAAATGTGTGGAATCTTTTGGACATGTAGTTACTTTTGGGAGAAAAATCATCTGATTCTTTTACATTAACTTTCTTTGCTTCAATGGCAATATGTGGCGCTTCTTGTGGTGCATGCTCCAAACTATAAAGTGGATCACGCAGCAATTACTAGGCCATTAACTAACTTTAAATATGGCATGTCATTGATAGGGGTCTTCCACAGCTTAGCTTTGAGTCGTAAATACCTCAGGTCTACTGAAACCAAAGAAGATGGAAAAATCCTCCAGAGTATTCCAAGGCACTACTGAAACCTCCACTATCATGGGTGTTGACCAACTACCATGGAGATGGAGACCTCTAATTATAGAGCTCCAAGGTACATACACTAGCTGCTGCCATATACTGAGGTGTGTTGGTTAGCTGGTAGAAGGCCAGGGTCCATCTTGCTGAGACTAACACGCCATTTATAAAGCGAACTCAACTAGCAGTGGCGAGTCTAGAGATGTATAATGGAGATAGTGGGCCATATAGTTGAGGATGGTGGGTGCAAAGAGCATGATATTAATCCTTAGAAACGAGGTGTGGCCCAGGCATGTGGTTGTCTCTCTTTCTAAGATTAACCAAGACACAACCTATCAGTAATCACACCTTAGCACCCATGATCCTAACAACTGAACCATAAAATCCTATGAGTCTCATGAATGGTAATGGTACATCATATGGCCTCAATCCCATCATGCCATACCACAACCACAGGAATTACAGTGATAGCACAGCAAAGCTACACCATAATTGTGAACCAAGCTCAAAGAACCCCTTAGGCCCACTACCAACCTAGGCAAGCAACAATATGTCAAGGTCAAGGCACATAATGAGGCCAGTTCAAAAAAAAAAAGGCACACAATGGGGCACTGAATCACTGAGAAACATCCTCGTCCAAAGAGGATTGTGTCATTAAGTACCAAGAGAATGACATGACCCAATCAAAAGAGAGCAAACATGCAGAGCTCATAGTGGAGGTCCATGTCTCCCATGTGCTAGCTAACATGCAGAGCTCACAGAATGGCAAGGAGATGACATGTGCAAGGTGCAATCGTACACATACACTAGGTGAGCTAGGGACCATTAATGTTGGATGTTCACAAGTATTTTGGTAATTTTGAAATAAAGCAATTGTCATTTTTAGTACTTCGAATGCATAGTAGAAGTCAATATAAACAGCTTTATGCTCTTATGCTCCAAATAGAGAACATGGACCATGCCACATCTCGCCCATCTAATGCAATGTAGGTTAGATTTGAAAAACAGTTTTGACGTCCTTTTTGAGTCCTTACATAACAGAAACACATCAAACTTCTACAGTTAGAAGACAACTGAATCGACCATCTATTCTATTATGCTTTCAGTAAAAACTAACCCACAACTTTCCATTTGTGTCATTTTAATCATCCGACCAACAAAAAGAAACTGTCATCCAAATTAAGCATGATCAGCATTGTTAACATATTTTCTAGAACTGAATTCAAATTTTAGTCCAAGAAAAAACCATACACATTAGCCTTACAGAAATTCAACTGAGAAATAAACAACAAAGGGAGTACCAATCTCACATACCAAGTTTATAGATTTCTAATTGTCTTGGGCTCTTACAGAATCTGAAGAAGATGGCAATGCAGACCCATTCTGAGGCAGCTTTGACAACACAGGTCTCTCCTCCGGAATCACCAACCTTTCCCCATTCTGAGGCAGCTTTGACAACACAGGTCTCTCCTCCGGAATCACCAACCTTTCCACCTTTCCAAACAATTGCTTCCTCAGAACCTCATGCAAATGCCCAAACAACTCTTTCTTCAAAGACTCAAATGCCAAGTCAAGCCGTTCCAACTGCTCCATCGCATTCTTATTGTACATAAACAACCCGTAATACAAATCAAAGCTATCACTCGCAGTATTCTCCACCAAATTCAACAGGGTATCGTACCCTTTCGTGTTAATCGGCGTTGCATCCAATCTCAACTTCTCTAAAATCCTCCCCACCGTATGGGTTATAAATTGCGACCCAGCCGCGTGTAAATCATGCTCCGAACACGACATTTCAACCATTCTACACCCCTCTTTCGCGAAAACATCAAGAAATCTCTCACACCGCGAAACCCTAGACTCATCATTCCCAATTCTGACCTTATCATAGACAAATGGGAGCCCATTCCAACCATCTTTAGCACTCTCAGGTCCAAACATAGGGTGTGTACACAAAATATCAAAATCCAAAGGCAAAATTTGCATAAACAAGTTCCTAGGAAATTCTTTCACAGACAATACATCAACGAAAAGTGTACTCCGCTTCAATCTCTGAAATGGCAATGATCGAAGGACTTTTTCAGTGGAGATAATAGAGGTGCAGAGGAGGATTACCTCGGGGTGTTCTTCGCAGAGATCGTCAGCGTCGGAGAAGAAAGAGACGCCGAGCTTTGAGGCGGTGTTTGTGTGGTCGGATCGAGAATGGGCGAGGATGGTATGGCCTTGGCGGACTAGGGCTTTGGCGAGGAATTGGCCGAAGTTGCCGAAGCCGATTATGGCGATCTTGAGCTTGGTGGATTTGTGGAAGCGATCGGAGATTTGGGACTCGTAGTCGAAGAGTTGAGCGGCGTCGAGAGAGCGAATGCGGAGACGGTGGTGGTGGTGGCGGCGGGGGGGGGTTGGGGGGCGGAGAGGGAGGTGAGGTGGCGACGGTGGTGGTGGTGGAGGGGAGAGAGAGAGGCGTTGGTGGTGGGGAGAGGGGAGGAAGGAGGAGGAGGTGGTGGTGGAAGGGTGGAGAGAGGAGAGGGAGAACATGGTTAATGCGAGAGAGAGAGAGAGAGAGAGAGAGATGGAAGAAGGAGACGCAGAATGATGAAGAAGAGGTGCGTTGCGGCGATGAGGTGGTCCTATTTTGACACTGTTGTGCGTGCGAAATGTGTGTCAAATGAAATGTGGTTTTATTGGTGTTTGCGATGTGATAAAAAAAAATGTTTTAATCATTTTTTTTTTTTTAGTTCTATCAAATTTTTTACTCTTTAAATCTATTTAATTTAAAAGAATTTAAAAAATAAAATAATAATAATAATAATTTAAGAAATTTTAAGAAGTCAACTTTTCTAGTTTTTTTCCCCTTTATAATTTTTTTTTTAAATTTAAATTTTATTTTTCATGTTCATCTATTTGAATAGAACTCTAGGTGCAAATTTTTTTTACAAAAAAAATCATTTAAAACAAAAATAAATCAACAAAGAAGTTGCTAAAAAAGTAATTGGCAAATTCTCAATAAAATTATACACGCAAAATCTATTTATATGAAAAGGATTGGCTCCTCTCGAATCTTCAGCAGACTGAATGAGCCTTATTTTGGGTTTATTTTGATTTCAAACTATTCAATATGTAAAATTCATCAAGTTTTTTATCTATGCAAAAAAATCACATTGATCGAATATCGATAATTATTTGATCATATCATATTTTTGTCAACGACAAATATTATTTTCAAAATAAATTGTGACAAAAATATGATCTGATAAAGTGACTATCGATATCTGATCAATATGATTTTTTTTGTAAGAATGATAAGCTTAACAAACTCTATATATTGAACGATTTAAATTATCGAAATGGATCTAAATCAAGGCCCTCCATAGCCCAATAAAACCGTCCAATTCAAAGGTAAACTAGAGAGGAGCCCCTTCCCTATGAAAATAATTATAAGACATAGGAGTTTGATCCAATAGTCTAATAGTCACACTTGAAGGTGTAGTGAGCAGAGATTAGAGGTTCGAGCTGATAGAATAGCAGTAAACTCATTCAATTATAATTTAACTATACTAATATATTAACATTATCTTTATAAATATATATATATATATAATTAGAAAAACAATAATGTAAAAAGTCACATTATTAAATCAACCTAAACATTTTGTTTTGTTTTTTTTTTTTTTTTATACAAGTGGCACTTGTAGCAGTTCTTTACTCAAATGTGGGTTAAGCATGACTTATATATATATATATATATATAATTATTATAGTATTATCATATCTCGTTTGGAGTGACTTAATTTAAAAATTACCCATTAATCCTATATAGAAGAAAGCTACACCATTTAGTCGTAGAAGTTTTTTTGTAAACCATTTAGTCCTATTTTTTTGGCAAGAGTTTTGTGGGTGATTTCATCATGTGGGAGCTGAATTTCATTGGATCAATATGGACGAATGGACGAGCCCAGTACAGGACATAACCTTTATTCGGCATTGATCCTAGTCAATTGAAGAGCCAAATAAAATAATCGACATTCTAACCAGTAGAACAAAGGCCGAGTAGAAGTACATGTAAAGGATCGAGGATGGGCCTGGCCCTAAGGCCCAAAGAGAATAATATAAATACAAGATCATCAGTCAAAGAAAGGTATGTGAGAACTAGTATACTTAACTTAAGATACAAGCAATCAAGAGAGTAGAGACTAACTTATCTGTCGGAGTGCTAATTCTGGCACCCCCGACTGGAGTGTTCATTTCTTTCTAGGTAGCTAACTGAGGATCACGAGCGTCCCCCAGGATAGGAAGAGTATTTCCAAACCACTTCCCCACAATTGGCGCCGTCTGTAGGAATACTCAAATACATCCATGGCGGGCGTAACGGAAGACCCTCCGATAGTCACTGACGAAACCACACAGAGAGATGATCTCACTCCACCAAACATGCTTGGACCGGAGACTATCGCCGCAAGACGCGCCTTGAACTTCGCCTCACCCTCGATTTCAGTGCCTGAGACAATGCAAGCGATCATGGAACAAGCAAAGCAAAACGAATAGAGGTTGGAGAATATGATCGCTGAAAACGAACGTCTCTGTCAGGATCTGGCCTTGGAAGTGGTGAAGTCCAAACAAGCTGTACGCTAAGATCTGGAACGACCTCTGAGGGCAGGTGGTCGACGACCTCGAGCCCGACAACAAGACACTGATAGTGACTCCGACTCATTATCCTTAAAGCCCAACAAGAAGAGATGACCCGAAACTACCAATTTCTCTGAAGATAGTCCATAGATAAGGCATAAGTGAAGAAGAAACAGTTCAAACGAAGAAGACCAGCACGATCCCTTTGTACGACGGATTGCAAGGGCAGTGCTACCTAAGAAATTCAAAGCACCGTCATTCACCTTGTACGACGGTAAATCAGACCCCACCGATCACATCCGCCATTACAAGCAAGCCATGACGCTGCATGCAGACGACGAGGCTCTCATGTACAGAATATTTTCGAGCAGTTTGGGACCACTAGCTGTCAAGTGGTATTATAAACTAGAGCCAGCTTCGATTAAGAGCTTCCACTAACTCCAAAAATCCTTCAGGGCAAGCTTTATCACTAATGAGGTCCAGCTAAAGCAAGCCGATTCCCTCTGGGAAATGCAGATTCAACCGGGGAAAACCCTTCGTGCGTATTCGACGCTGTATTAGGAGTGTTTTAATGTAGTAGATGATCCTTGTAATGACTCCATGGCCATTACCGCCTTCAAGATGCGGTTACATCCCGGCAGTGCCCTCCGCAGCTCTTTGACTAGACGGCCCCCCAAAACAGTCTGGTCGTTGATGAAGAAAGTTGAGGAATACTGTAAAGTGGAAGATGACGCCTTGCGGGTTAAAGCCGAAAACGTGGCCAACAAGACGGCTCCTTCTGAAATTGATCAGCCGTTAAATTCTGTACCACCTCAGAGCCCTGAACCACGGCATCGGGCTAAACGAGACAAGAGACGGGATTTTTGCCGAATCAAGCGACCAATGTTCCCACCGAGCAAATGAACAACTGCAAGTTGCTAGCAAACGCACAAGGCGCGCCGATAAGAAATATACGGAGTTGTTAGAGCCGATCAGCACAGTTATGTCCAAAATCCAACACCTTTCGTTCTTCAATGGCCGTCGAAAATGGTGGGACCTCCCAACACGCGAAGAAGGGATCGACAGTACGAGTATCACAAGGATCATGGCCATGATACTGAAAGTTGTTATGCATTGAAGGATCATTTGGAGGAATTGGTACAGGATGGTCGGCTACAACAGTACGTCCGAAAAGGCAATTCAACCAAAGCAATAGCCTTAAGACAGGATTCACCTTCACTTAGCGTGATCCACATGATATACAGCTTGCCAATGTCAGCTATAGTGCATACAATTCAGTCGAATCCCGACCCTCAAAATCAACTCACTCCGGCTAAACGGCCTCATGAAGCTACGAGCATTGCTTTTGATGATTCAAATTTGGCCAGAGTGACACTTCCCCACATCGATCCCTTGGTAATCGAGTTACGCGTAAACCGATTCACCGTTGAGCGCGTACTCGTTGACCTAGGGAGCACATCAGAAGTTATGTATTACAAGACATTCACCAAACTCGGCTTCTCCGAATTGAATCTTTCTTCGGCACCTTATCCACTATTCGACTTCAACGCCAATCCAGAATACCCGTTGGGAAAAATCACATTACCCATTCGAGCGGGTTCGCGAACAGTGGAAGTGGAATTCTTAGTCGTCAAGCTGTCGTTGCCATATAATCTGATCATGGAGCGAACTTGGTTTCACACTCTGCAGGTCGTGCCAAGCACCTATCATCAGCTGCTACGCTTCCCGACAGAATGCGGCATTGAGCAAATCTGTGGCTCCTATAAATCGGCACAAACATGTTATCTCCTTGCTGGAAAGACGCTAAAAGAGTTGCAAGTGAATTTTATTGAGGTGCCGGATCGAGAGAGCCTCGACGATGTTGGGCGGCTCCCAAGTGAAAAGGCCACGGAAGTCCTAGATCGAGTTAAAATCGACGAAAACCCAGACAGGTTCTTCATGGTCGACGCCTCCCTGAATCAAGCCGACAGACAGCAGCTAATGTCCTTCCTGCTCGGCAATATTGATATATTTGCGTGGACTCCATATGAGATGCCAGGTGTAGATCCTTCTGTTTCGCAGCACCGTTTAAATGTTGACCCTAAATGCAAACCGATTATTCAGAAAAGCCGACGGTCAGCTGTAGAGCACACTATCGTCGTTGTTGAAGAGGTTGACCTGTTGCTTGATGCCGGGGCAATCAGAGAAGTGACCTACCCTACATGGCTCTCGAATACTGTGGTTGTGAAGAAGAAAAATGGGACTTGGCGAATCTGCGTTGATTTCATGGACCTAAACAAACCCTGCCCCAAAGATTGTTTTCCTCTCCCCAAGATAGACCAAATTGTAAATGCTACGGCACGTCATCAGCGTATGAGCTTCCTCGATGCCTACAGAGGTTACCATCAAATTACCATGCATCCGGAGGACCAAGACAAAACTGCATTCCTCACCCCAAGAGGAACCTATTGCTATAAGGTTATGCCTTTTGAACTGAAGAATGCAGGGGCAACTTACAGAGACTAGTCACCACCATGTTCAAGGAGCAATTCGGCCACACTATGGAGATGTACATTGACGATATAATGGTTAAGTCCAAAGAAAAGCAGAATCATATAGCCGATTTGGAAGAGACATTCGGCATTCTACGCAAATATAGAATGAAGCTGAACGCTTCCAAATGTGCATTTGGGATCGGCTCTGGCAAATTCTTGAGTTACATTGTCAATCACCGAGGAATCGAAGCCAATCCAAGGCAAATCACAGCAATCCTGGAACTCGGCTCCCCTTGATCGGTCAAGGAGGTTCAGAAGTTAATGGGAATGGCCGCTGCACTCAACAGGTTCATCTGTCGTTCCACGGACCGCTGCCGACAATTCTTTCATACACTACCGCAGGGCAAGGCTTTTGAATGGTCCACTGAGTGCAAGGCCACTTTCAATGGCCTCAAGACCTACCTCCGATCAGTTCCACTCTTGACAACACCTTCGGCAGGTGACCCGTTCATTTTGTATCTGGCAGTTTCCGACATGGCCGT